AATATATAAATTATATTATAATTAAAGTTTATGACAAATAAATATCTTTTAACATAAAAATTATATTTAATATTTATAATAAATAAGGTATATTGTAATATAAACTTATTTTTAATTAATGATAATCATTAAATATTATTTAAATTTAATTTCAAATTAAAAATGAAAATATAAATTTAAAGAGATGAGAGGTGCTAAAAAGAATCATAAGACTGTTTTTTGTTGAAGAAAAATCAATTATATAAAAGTTTATGTTGAACAATAACTCTTAAAAATACTCTAATCTATATACTCTATTCTATAAGAGAGATACAGCGGAAGAGAGAGAACCTAACAAAACAAGTTATAAAAATATAAGAAAAAAGAAAGGAAAAAAAAAGCTTCAAAGAATATAAGACATTTTTATTAAACTTAAACAAGGTTTGAATCCTAATCTTAAATATAAAATATACAATATTAAAAAATATATATATATATATATATATATATTAATTATGTAGATTCATATTTTTCAACAAAAATTAATCACTATTTTTTATGATAAATATTTTGTGTCAATATTTAATTTAAAAAAAATCAATAGAAGTTCTTTTCTTTCAAATATATCATGAATTTAGCAAGATGGGTGTGAGCTCTTAAAGTCAGACCATGAGAAGTGAGATCCATAAATACAATTGTGAATGCCCTCATTATTGCTTATTTAACTGGTTTTGCTTTCTATATATCTTTCAATCATATAATTGTATTTGTATGTTCGGAAAGCAATTTCAATCGTGGTAAGGACACCAGCATTCCCATATTTGAGTCTTGCTAGTTTTGATTTCGTCAGTATTTTGAAATGAAGATTTTTTTTTCCAAGACTTATTTATTGATCTTAAGTTTCCTAACATTTAAAACTAAAGGAAGACTTCTGAGTTTTCCCAGGTCTTTGTTAAGTATTTTTTTAGCAAGTTGAGCTTTTTTATATTTTCCCTTTTGTTCATACTATAGCAACTTGCCAACACTGTGATTTGGCTAATCTGTAAATAAGATTAAACAATTTTAGGAGTATTTGTCAATGTTATTTGTACCGACAAATATTGAACCTACTTCTCATATTAAATGTCTCGTAGGTATAATTTCCTTTTGATTGATCAATTATCTACTTTAATTGTTTTAGGCTAATTGTAGTTATCTTCTTAACAACGCATCCATCTCAGCTTCGCAACTAATGATTAAAATGATTTATTAGATAAGATAGATCCTTTGTATATCAAATTTGAAAAAAGATATATACTTAGCTAATTGTTAACCTAATCTCGAATGGTGACATAGAAAATGCAAGGGGCAAGTTTATTACACTAACTTGGTGAACTTGATGGCATCCGACACACCGCAGAAAATGTCGCATTAGATAGATACATGTGTTTTATATAGAGGTGAAAAAGAATGATCAATTAATCATTCAACTTCTATTTGAAAAGTTTATAAATAATTTAATTATATTTATCTTATTTTATAAGTATTTATGAAAATATTTTAAAATATTTATAAAATATTTTGAATTTATTTGGATAACTTGTTTGATGTAATTTATTATTTAATTTATATGAAAATTTATTAGGAATGTTGGATCAAAAGACAATTTAGGAACCTTCAAATTATAATTAGTTTTTAATATTAACAAATTCATATTTTTGAAAAAAATAACTTACAAAGATCATATGTTTAAGATGATGGTATAATAGACATAAACAATTCTTAATGATGAAATATATGATAATATATTTAGTATAGAATTTTTATTATTTGTCTTGATGTTATTCTCTAATACATCAAAAGGATAAAAAATATTTTAATACTTGTAATATATAAAAGAATAAAGATTTGTTTCTCGTCAGAATAAGGATAAATAGATATTTTAAAGTATATAAACATGAGTTAAAAAAACATTTTTGAATGACACATAATTTATTTTCTTTTATACCATAAAAGTGATAAATAGATTAGTCTAATTTTAATTTTTTTCTATAAATATTATTATCTTCTAGTATCTTTATTTTTTACAAAAAAAAATGTTCATATTCAAATCCTGTCACCAACATAAATAATTTAACTTTTTATTCTTTCATTAAAAGCTAATTTTTTATTCTTTTCTTCCTCCAGAAATTGTTGTTCCTCTTTATTATTTTTTTGTCTTTCCCTCAATTTTTTTGTTCCTCTTTAATTTTTTTCATTTCTTCAATTAAAAACTAGTTTTATATTCTTTTTCATTACTCTCTTTAGAAGTTTTTGTTTCTCCGTCTAATAATTTTTTTAATCATGAATTTAAAGAATATATAAAATTGATTTTTAATTATTAAAATTTTCATATGATTCATAATTTTTATCATGGTTATATATATAACTAATTTTTCATATTTGATTATTAATTTTATATTTTTATAAACTAAAATGACATGAATTGTGACTATTAATTTTTTATTTTTAATATTATTGTGGAATATAATGTCATTTTTAAAAATTATCTAGTTAATTTTTAAATTTTTAGTTTACTTCTAGTCAAGGTTTAATTTGTAATTTTTTAATTTTTAAAATGAGTCAATATATTATAAGTACTTAAATAATAATACATTCAAATATTATAAAATGATATAAATATTTGTCAATATGTATATCTAAATGTAACAATTTATGAATATTAAACACTTAATTATAACATAAGTTCTTATTACATAAGAGCTTAGTAAATAAAAACTTAATTAATTTATTTATCCACGGTCCAATATAACAATTAGTAACTTATAAGATTCTTTTTCTAAAAAATTTCAAAATCAAGATTTATAATTTAGATTTTAATGGATTTATATTATAAAAAATAGGTTTTACTAGATTTTAGCAAACATTTAAAGTCAGAAAAAGATTATAAAAAAAATGATGATGAGGTTTTGATTTGGATAAAGAAAAAACTTTTATTTTTTGAATTATATTATTATATTAATTAAAATAAAATAGATCAATTTGATCTATTTTGACTCACCTCGCCAATAACTTGCTAAAAATAGGATGAAACAAGTTGACCCTCTTGTTAAAAGTGTGCTAAAAATCTTGATCACTAATATTTTTTTATCATTAATTTAAATTGACAAATATAATTTTTTTATAGTAATTGGCAAATTTTAAAAACTCAAAACATAAATTTATCTTTCTACTTCAATATTATAACACAAAGATATAAAATTACAAATTATTAAAAAATTCTTTTTTTTAATCAAAATCACTACTAATAGTCTTTAAACCATATTAAATTATAATATTTTTAAAGGAACATTTGATATACAGAAAATTATAATATTCATAATAAAAAGTTTCTATTGAATATTAATATATCTTTTATAAACTCTTAAAAAATAATAGTCTGGTAGAATATGGCAATACTTATTTATATTATTTAATAGTCTTGACAAATACACAATACTTTTCTCTGTAAAAAAAATTAAAATTTTTCAAAACATAAATCCTTAAAGATACTAGAAATAATAATTTTATATTTTAGAAGCAAAAAAAAAAACAACAAAACAAAAATGCAGGTACAAATATCAAAACACTTTTATTTTAGCGGGAAAAAAAGAATTAAGTCCGGATATACAAGTATTATGCATGGTCAGTGGGACAGTGTGAATGTGTGAGGTGAGTTCACAATTACTTTTTTAATAACATGAGTTCACACTTTTAGACTTAGGTAGTGTTTATTTCTGCTGATTTACTGTTTACGACGAACGAAAGGCGAGAAAATTTTACATTTGTTTCTACTGATTTACGAGGAAAGAAAAGCGAAGAAAAGAGAAAAAAGGGGCGTTGAACGTCTTCGTATCTTTGCGAAGAAAAGAGATAAAAGCCACGTAATATTTGAGAAAATTCTATAATACCCCTACTCCATACATGCAAAGACTGTGCCATGCAGCAGAGAAACGAAGCATAATCGATTATGCATGTCACATAATCAATTATGAGCTTGCATAATTGATTATGCTGAGAACATAATCGATTATGTAAGCTACATAATCGATTATATAGTTTGCATAATCAATTATATTGAGTACATAATCGATTATGTAAGCCACATAATCGATTATGTGGCTTGATAATCGATTATGCTGACGACCGTCATCAATCTCATCGTCGCTGTTGCACGCCCATAAAAATAAAACTATCCAGGGTTGCCTTTTTCTTTTCGGTGCATACTTTATGCTCTACTTTTCTCTCAAAATAAATTAACCACTAACAGAGAGGGATCTAAAGAACTATCCAGGGGTTGAATGTTTTGATAATAAATTTAAATAAACGTCAAATCATAATCATAATTATTAAATATATCTAATTCATAACTATCATTTTTTAAAATTATAAAATTTATAAACTAAATATTATTATTATTATTTTCATTATTATTAATATTTATTATTTATTATAATTAGTATTATTATTATTTATTATAATTCTTATTATTTTTCTAATATTTATTATTATTCTTATCATTATTTATTATTTTTTTTAATAAATTATACCTATTAATATAAATTTATTGTAATTATTATTATTTACAATAAATAATATTATACTCATTTTTAATTCAAGAGTAAAAGTATAAATTACATATTCATCTATTAAATTTTTAATTTTTATCTCATTAAATTTAAAGCAAATATTTAAATTAAATTATTTTTAAATTAATATTTTATATTTATTTTTTTAGTTAAAATTTATATATTTATATTTTAATTATAATAATTATAATTTTTTTTAATCTAAGGGTAAAATAGTAATCTTACACAATTATCAATTAAAAAAATTATTTTTATCTATCACATCAATCAATTCACTCACAAACTTTCACAAACTTTCTCTACACTTTCTACTCACTTTCCCTTAATCCAAGCAACCTCACTTTCCACTCGCTTTCCCTTCAAATCTTTCATTTTCCACTCCTTCTTTTCCATCTTCAAATCCGAACAGGGTCAGATGAGAAATTGTTTCTTTCTTCTATCATTATGTAGTAAACTGCAGATTTAGTAAGATGGTGCTAACATACACGAGCAAGAGTTGAATCTGATTCTGATCCCTTGCCAGACAAACCATCAATTGAGTAAAATCAATCGAGGTCAGTAATTGCTTGCTTTACAGTGATATATATCCATCGGTCAGTTGAAAAAAAATGGACAATAATGGCGAAATATCTTATCAAGTAGGCAAATTACTTGTTTGTAAAAGTTATATAAATTGATTTTTGATCCCCATTTACAGATTGGGTAAATAAAAAGCCATAATTTGAAAGTTTTCTATTCCAAACAGAGCTGGTATTTTCGAATGATATTCTCCTCCTTTCACTCTTTTGGATAACTGCTAATTTGTAATGTTTGTAGATATATAAAGTTTTGATTTTAAAGCTCTTTGATTTATGGCTCCTTTATTTTGTTTTTCAAGGGTGTAAACTGTAAAGACAAGACCCAGTGCATATTCTTCTTCCGGAACATCTTGAATAAAATACTCTGAACTCTGAAGTTTTTAATTTCTTGGTTATTCGTAAATTGGAGGATGCAGTGGCAAAACCAACATCAGATACTGTTCCTCAAATAAAATATGATGCATGGTTTTAAATTGCAAGCTGCAACTGCAATTGCAGCTGCAAGATTGTGGTTTGGAAGGTCTTCACAACCACAACGTGCCCGCAATTGCTACCGTATATGCTCACAATTTTCCACAAATTCAATAATTGCAACACAAGAGCAACCACGACCACAGTCCACAGTCTATGATGTTTTTGTTAGCTTTAGGGGCAAGGACATCCGCCAAGGTTTTCTTGGCCATTTGGTTGAGGCTTTTCCTAGAAAGCAAATACATGCCTTTGTAGATTACAAGCTTGAAAGAGGAGATGAAATATCACCATCACTTCTTCAAGCAATTGAAGGATCATCCATTTCGCTTGTAATTTTCTCAAAAGACTATGCTTCTTCACGTTGGTGTTTGGAAGAACTAGTAAAAATAGTTGAGTGCAGAGAGATTTTTGGACAAGCTGTGATACCTGTTTTCTACCATGTAGATCCCACAGATGTACGGCATCAAAAGGGGAGTTATGAAAATGCACTTGTTGAATTAGAAAAATATTCTGATTCGACAAGGTTGGAAATCTGGAGGCTGGCTTTGAAAAAATCTGCCAATTTATCAGGAATCAGGGCATCAGATTTCCGGTAAGTTTTTTGTAATAAAAACGAATTATTTTCTAACTGTATGTTTGTCATATTGCTATATGAATATTCTCAAAAGAATAATGCTGCTCGATCTAAATCTTGGTAGCTTAATTTGAAAAAAGACACAGCTTTTAATTTATGAATTGTTTTTATTCATGTTTGGATAAACTTATTCAAAAGCATTTATATATAGGGAAAGAAAA